AGGCAGCCATTGTTGTCTACGACATCACTAACACAGTGAGTACTGCGTAGGGCTGTGGGTGTTTACTGGGGAGGAGATGTCTGCGCTTGCAGCTGATGCTTCTCAGTTCCCTGGGAGAGTGTCTGGGTTCAGAGCCCTTGCAGATGCCTGCCTGCAGGTACTGAGTTTCTTGAAAACTGCTAACGACCTCTTCCTCAGTTCTGACCAAGGCTGTCTAAGCTGATAAAGGATCCTGCTACAAAGTGCTGTAGAGGCAGAACACTTCTTACAGGAAGACTTGTTCTAATCATATCTTCACTGTGGATTAATAAGAGGCTGCCCTTCCTGACTGCTGCCTCCTGTTTGCTTCCAGGACACATTTGTACGAGCCAAGAACTGGGTGAAAGAGTTGCAGAGGCAGGCTAGCCCCAATATTGTAATTGCACTAGCAGGAAACAAGGCAGACCTTGCTACCAAGAGAGCTGTGGACTTCCAGGTGAGTGGGAATCCAGATCAGTTGTTACCTGAGCAAGTCAGGAAAGCAGCTTTTTAAGTGGGGGTGATAGTGGCTATGTGCAAAATGCTTTGAGGGAGAGTGGAAGTCAAGATTTATGCTGCTGAGGACCCCAGGATGCCACTTAAAGTGAATTGTAGCCTGCCTTTCCCATGCACTCCTTTCACAGCACTTATAGCTCTTGTTGGTAACAATTATGATGAATGTGGAGAACAAGGCCCGCAGAGCACAAGCTTCTGTCTTCAGTCTCTTCTGGTGCCTTACTCGTCTGGGGCTGTCTTCAGCAGTGTATGAAACGGCATCTTTTAGATACAAGACACATGAAGAATCATTCCCAGCTTGTTCTGTACTCTTCACAGCTCTTACCTTACCTAAGGCAGACTTTGAAGGAGAAGCTCTTATCTCAGACCTCTGCACAGGATTGCTTGTGGTGCATTTACAGTGTGTTTTACTCTCCCGGCTAACCAAAGTACAAGGTGGTGTGCTGCTCGGGACATGCTGTGTCTACATTTGGCTCACAAACAGTCTGTGCTGCTGTACCCCAGCTTGGCTGCGGGGACACCAGCCATGCAGTACTGTCAGTGGTACGTGTCTCCCAACTGTCCTGGCCAGGCGGGGTCAGGGGACTGGGGTGGGACAGAGCGTTTCTTCAGTGTTTAGTTTGCCAACAAGTGAAGCGTGTGAAGCCTGCTTGGGCCTCCTCTTGGCAGGATGCCTTTACCATTCTAACGTGATTGTTTGTAGGATGCACAAACATATGCAGATGACAACAGCTTGCTGTTCATGGAGACGTCAGCAAAGACAGCGATGAATGTGAATGAAATCTTCATGGCAATAGGTAACAACTTGTGTGCAGAAGGATGGCTGGGGTGGCTCTGAGCACCAGCAGTGCAGCTCGCTGGAAACTGTGGGAGCTCCCACATCAGCCAGGGTCTGGAGGCTCCTACTGGAGTAGATGACCAGTTTGCTATACATTGTGAATGTTCACTCCCTGAGTGTTTGGAGCCTTTGCCTGGCAAACCCTGTTCCGTCTCTCCCTTTATCTGAGGTGGTGAGTAAGGAAGGAGCAGGGCTGATGACAGCCAGAGCTAGGAGTGGGTTTGTTTGCTGTACTTGTGCTGCTAACAGTGTCCAGTCCCAGACTCCTTAAGAGGTGGGACCTTGGGCCAGAGCAAGCTGAGCTCAGCCTGTGGTCTGCAGTGGGGAGGAGGTTGACCTCTGCAGAGGAGCCTACTAACATCTTGTTTCTTTCTAGCCAAGAAACTGCCAAAAAATGAACCCCAGAACACTCCTGGTGGCCCAGGTAGGAATCGGGTGGTTGACCTTCAGGAGAGCAGTCAGCCTAGCAGGAGCCAGTGCTGCAGCAATTGAGCAACCGTTCCCGCCTGACAGAGCCCTTCAATGACGTGACTGGAATCCACGCTAACAATCGCACTTACCGTAGAGCGGCTGCTGCCGGTGGCTGCTGTGATTTCTCCATCCCTTTCTGATCATAGGCTGGAGGGAGTTCTTCCACCTGCACCTTTCTGTACAAATACTAATTCAATTCTAAGTCTTAAGTCACTTTTTTAATATATGAACTTCTGCTCTTCCCTCTTCCTGGTGGTGGTGGATGCATGACCTGGTGTCTGCCCAGCCAGCTCATCCCTGCCCACGGGTGAGGGCCAGCAGCACCCAGGTCCCACAGTACTGTAGTTCACTATTGGAAACAAAGGGATATTGAGACTAGACAACCTTGTTTAAAATTACCCGTATGTAAAAGCTAAGGCTAATACCAGTATGATATGCCTAGAACAACCACTAAACTGTAGCATTATAGTGACAAACTCTGGCTTTTCAGCCACTTATTGACCAAATCAATTATGAGTATTCTGGGGTGGGGCAGAGGGAAGCAAAACTGGCTTCTTCTGTATTTTGTATTGTGTGTTTCTTCATGTAACCAATCAGTATCTTGTCAATATAGTACCTACAACTAGCTGCCTGTTGTCTTTATTTGTGTTGGACTCTAGCATGCCAACTCTTCTTTTTTTTTCTATCTCCAGTTATGCACTAATCCTGTTGCAACTTTTGCAAAAATCTTGTATAGAAAATTGTCCTTTTTTTGATGGTTGTGATGCCACTAATGTTGTTAACCCTACTCTAGTGTGAATACACATGGTTTACTGATGTACAGAGGTGGGGTGGGGGAAACCTCGGATAACTTGTCAGTGGAAACAATATGTATTGCAAAAGCCTGTAATTCCACAAAGTATGAAGGGAGGTATTAAAATGGCTTCTGTTGCCAGACTCTAACTGATGTTGGCTGCTGCCTAGTGCCTAATGCAATGTCTTATGCATACTGGTATTTAAGAGGAACTGTCAACTTAGTCTTCATCACAAACTTCAGTTTTGTGTGATTAAAAAAAATTTTTATAAACCTATCATAATCAACAATGTTCATGTTTCTTAATCAGCTCAAACCAGAAGGGGAGTGGACCAGAACATAACAGTTGTGCTGGAGGCTGAGATGTGCTCAGCTGCTGTGGTGTGTACAATGCCTGGCTTTCTTGTAGGGAGACGTGCCCTTCCTTGGGCAGGGCAAAATGTGGGCTGCTTGCCCTTGGACCTCTGTCTGGGCTGAACCAGCAGCTCCTGCAGCAGTCAGCTCCCTTGGGAGGCAGGAACCTCCTTATGCTGATGCTGCAGGGGATTCAGTAAGCATGTGGTGTTGCTGTGCAGCGGTGTGCAAGGAAGCTTGAGGCAAATAGTGGGAATTACTCATTGCCTAACACTTCTAGGGGAGCTACCTACAGTGCAGGCTGGGAAGAAGTGGGGGGAGCAGTATGCGGAGGAGCTCAGCTTGACAACTGGACAGGCTTGGGAATACCGTGCTCAAGTATTAATGAACAAAATGCCTCTGTCCCTGGAGGTTGATGGCCCCGAATGATGCTACTCTCCTGTCACCGCTTCGTGGACCTTGAGATCCCTACACACATGGGTGAGACCTGGAGTCAGTATGGAAAACGCGTCCTCCTGCAGCTACCACGATGCTGCTGGGCTGGCACCCTGTGTGCTTGGGAGAGCTCCAAGATGGTGATGTTCTGGTGCCTGAACCTGCTGCCTCTCCTCGCTTGTGTGGCTGCTGCTGAAGCTCTGCGGGAGGCAGAGCTACAGTCAACAGCGTAACTGTCCCTGGGCTGGGCTTGCCCTTAACTTGTGGTGTTGGGGCTCTGAAAGTTCTGCTGGGTAGCTGTGAATAAAGTTGTCTGTGTGAACAGCCTTGGCTCATGTGGGCTTCATCCCCTATCCAAAGTCTTGGTGCCTCTTGCTCATGCTGGATTTCCTTACAGTCCTGGAAGGGTCTGGAGCAACTCCGTGACTGAGTTCCCAACACTTGGCTGGAGCACAGGCTGCCTGCAGTGTGTGGGCTCAAGGCCTCAAATGGGCTGTGCTCACCTGGTGCCATGGGTGCTGCTTGTTTCTGTCCCCTGCGAGGAAGCCTTGCTGCTCATCTGCCAAAGGAGCTCGGGACATCTGAGGCCTCATTGCCTCCAGCGTGGTTTGGACTGGTGCTGCTGGTTTCCCCGGGCAGCAAGAGAGGGACCTGTGGGAGAAGGGCTTCCCCAGCCCCAGCTGGAGGTCTCGGGCACACAACGCGAGGTGCTGTTGCCATCTGCTGGTTCTTTTACTCTTTTACTCGGTTCCTGGTTGATGGGGCTTCCTTCATTTCTGCTCCTTCCAGGACTTTGGGTCTCCATCTCCACGAAGGAGCCTGCGATGCCCTGAGGGGGGGTCTGGCTGCCCAGCTGTGAGGGATGCAGTGTCCGGGCTGGGGACCTGCTGCTGGCTGCAGAGGTGAGCAGCTGTGCTCCGCAGAGCGGAGCCTCCTCGCTGCTGGCACACCGCTGCCGTGGGGAAGGGCTGCCCAAGCTCGGAGCAGCTTTGGCAGAAGCAGGCGTGCCTGCCTGCATACCTGCTGCCTGCTCGGGCCTGAGCATGGGTGGTTGTGGGGGTTACACACGGCGCCTGGAGAAGGCTTCACCCTCCCTGCTGCTGGGACCTCAGAGGGGGCTCCAGCAGCCCCTTTCCAAGCTGCATGCGGGGAAAGCGTGGGTACGACAGGGGCACCCTACACCCAGCCAGGCCATCCAGTGCGGTTGTCTTCCCACTCAGCAGCCTCGCCCAGGGAGTGAGGGGCTGCGGAGCTAGTGCAGCTGCTGACGGTAGTGAGGAAGGAGTGAGGGCAGCCCGCCTGCTGCCTGGGAGAGCTGCCCCTGCTCCCGTACAGGTGAGAGGGGCTGCCCCTCTCTGCTTGGGAGCTTTCTGCCTCCCCCTACCCCCACAAGCAGCACAGGGCTCACAGATGCCTTCCCTCCCTCTGGGTCCGCTGTCGGCCCCATTTTGTGCGTCTCTAAGGCAGCAAGAGAGGTTCTTCCCTCTTCGTGCATCCAGCTCCTCTGGCATCAAGAGCTGAGACCAGGGCCCAGCCTCCTCATCAAGCAACACCAAGAGAGCACAAGCAGGTTCT